CAAAATTGTCCACTGTTGAGAACTACTGGATTAAGAGATCATTATCCTGAAACACTGCAGACTGGGGCCAAAAATCATGTCATGTGCCATTTTATTTATAGATCAGTGTGGGTGGAAGTAGTGCCAGCCATCTTCAAGCTGTTAGGCTAGACTCAAAGCTCAGTGTAGACCTGCACTCTCTGATACCATGTATCTGTGCAAAAATGTATCCGTGAGAGAATGGCACCAAGCCTCTCCTGTACCTGAATGTCAGTGCTCTGCCTTCTACGTCCTGTCTCCTATGATAGCAGTGAAAGTGTCCTTTCTGTTGTTGAATGCATTGATTGAAAAGACTCTCAATGTACTTGGAAAGGCATTTGGAAGGTAAGTATTAAACCAAATAATCCTGACCCTCTGTCCCCAAAGGGATCTTCTAACGAAGCTTTAGGAGATCTCAGGCTACGCACTGGCCACGTGCTAATACTTTCTACCACCAAGCTCACTTCACAAGAATCACCCCTAAGTAATTTCCACTCTTCTCTGTTCTAAGTCTATTTTGACTGAACTTCCTTGCCCTTATTCCCCCTTTGGCTGGTTTAACTAACTTTATGATTTATTCCTCATAAAGTTAATCAGTTCCCTGCTTTTTAAAACCTCTCTGGCTACTGCTAAGCTACCATCTTTCCCTAAAGTCTCCCCATGGAAAGTTTGCATTTAATAACGGAAGTTGCCAACATCTTGACCTCTTTCAGATATGACAATGGATGATGTTCGGGAATACGAGAAAAACATGCATGAACAAACCAACATAAAAGTTTGCAATCAGCATTCCTCCACTGTGGATGACATAGAGAGCCATGCCCAAACAAGTGTATGTAGAATTTTTAAAACATGTTGCCCACCCTGTATGAAACAAACACGTAAACTGATCTTTGAAATACTGCAAATGCTCTTTTCCCAACCGTCCACAAAATCATGTCATTGCCCAAGAGGCTGTTGGTGAAGATGCTGAGCTGGGTCTAGAGCAGGCAGTGTGGCCTCTCTCTTTCAGACATTTCAATTCTTTAAAGTTGCTTGATTTGGGGGTTGTTTTGGTCATAAAACCAAGAACATGGAGAGTGGAAACATATTGTGATACTAGTGAAATGGCCTGCACTGAACATAAAAAGAGCATAGGAGTAAAAAATGGGTGTCGTATGTAAACTAGAACAACATGTCAGTAACTTTTCAAAACGTAGTTAACACTTACTTGTTCATTCAGAGGAGGGCTTCTGGCTCATCTGCTATTTTAGGTTTCTTTACATGTGCTTTGAAATGCTTCCTAAGGCTCTTTATAGCTATTTTACCCAATCAGTTCTTTTTTACTTAGGGTAATCTCAAGACAGAACTGCAGTCTGCACACAGACAGGCTGAGTAGTGAAGGGCTGATCACGGGAAATGTGCTGAGCTGCACAGACGATCCAGCCTGGGACTTAGCAAAAGCCTCAGAGCCTGAGGTTATTTAGTCGCACATGGGAAATTAAGAGCTTGTGGTGTTCACCAGCATCTTAAATAGAGTCATCTCTACATCCTTTTTGCTAGTGAAAGGAAAAACAGTCAACAAAGAAAAAAAGTAATCACCAAGTCATTTTATGGGTCTTCAGCCATACAAAGAGCTGGGTTTTCTTTGGGGTCCAGCTTGAGTTGTCTGTCAGCCCAGGGCCTGGAATAATACATATTAGATTTAAAAAAAAAAAAATTCAAGAATGTAGGTAGAGAAAATTGAGAAGTGGCTGTTGTTGTGAATAGATGCTTTAAGATCGTGAAGACCTTCTGGTTGCACATTGGAAATTTTAGTTAAGATTTTAGAGCATGACTTTGGAATGTGCCTGAAGAGCTTACGGGCTGCCATTGGCTGCATGTGACTGCCCTTGAGTCTGCAAGGGCCCTAACTCTTCCTGCCCTGCTTTGCATGCAGTGATTGGGTTTGCAGGAAACTGTTGGGGCAATACTCACTTGAAGTGTTTCCCTTCCACAAATGTACACATTCTGATAAGACTTCCCACTCCTCTCTCCCTGTTCTAACGTTAGAAATGTCTTTAAGGAAACTATTCTTGAATTTTCGTCACTTTCAATTGCCTTTTCCTTTTGGAATGTCAGATACTAGTTCCTCCTCAACTGATCTGAAAGCGGATCACTATAAATATGACCAGACATAGGACCAAGCCACAGGGAAAGGGGACACTGGGGCTGTCTCAAGGGCACCAAGCCAGTGCTTTTCACCTTCTCATTTCTTGAAGTTTGCAGCTTAAGGCTCTTTGCTTGGTTTTCTTTTAGTTTTACTCTGAGTATTATAATGTCAGTTTCACTATGTACAACTGATAAGCTAGAAGTCCCATGCATTCTCTGGCTGCAAATCACAGTTGTGACTTCAGTGTAAGATATACCCTACCCACTGATAAGTTACACAAAGTGATGATTTTGAAAGCTTGTGACATTTCCTTTATTCTTTGGAATTCCATGAAATTGAGGATCATTTATCTTTCCATAGTCTCTCTACACTATCACAATGAAAAAAAAAAAAAAMAAAMCAGTTAAAATCAAGAAGCTGCTRTGCATCACAAATAAAACCTGCATGGGTGCTAAATGAAATTTAAATAATCCACCTGAGCAAGGATAGATTAGATTGAAATTATGCAAAATTAACAACCCTGAACACAGCATAAGGAAATAACAGTCTTGTTTTCAATTGAGGGCTTTCAAAGCCTTCAAGGAAGGGAACGTCTAAGGGACTGGGAATGGAAAATTAAAATTCTGTGCTTTGGATGATTTCTGCCCCCTGATGGATGCATGAAGTAGAGCACCATGCACAGATGCTAGTTAGAAAGTCTAATTTCTCAAAGATGCTATTTGTTTATTCTCTCAAAAACACACCTTAGTTCAATTCAGTAAAATTTTTCTGAGAGTCTTGACTTTACTTCAAAGTAAATAACTCCTTTTTTAACCTTAATCTCATTCTTAGCTAATTGCCTTAGTATTTTTTAGAAGACTAAATTGCCAGGTGCAGTGGCGCATGCCTACAATCCCAGGAACTTCAGAGGCCAAGGTGGGAGGATCACAAATTAAAGGCCAGCCTCAGTAATTTAGCAAGACCCTGTCTCAATAAAAAATAAAAAGGATTGAGGATGTAGCTCAGTCATAGAGCACCCCTAGGTTCAGTCCCTAGTACCACCAAAAAAAAAAAAAAAAAGAAAACAAAGTGGTAAATTAATAAGATATATTGTGAATTTTATATTATGTCAACACAGTTGTTATTTTTTATTTTTGTAAAGACTTTTCCCTTTCAGGAAATTTTAATAATTATTCAGAAGGATTTCATTTTATGGAAAGTTTCTGGTTTGCTCAGATGTTATAAAACCTAATGATTAATACTGTATCATGAATGTTCATTCCATACTTAATATTTCTAGAATGGCTATGTGGTTTCACAACAGTTTAGTCATGCAGCATTATCTAAGGAAGTTTCAATTACTAAGTTCATGACAGAGGACAAGAGAGAATGAAAAATGAGTCTCTGGAAAGTCAAAATAGATGAAAATCCATGGGCAGCAGATTTCACATTTTACTCAAAGACAAGCCCATAGGCCTTCACTCGGTGCCTATTCTAATAAGCCCAGTTACCTGTTGCCCTATTCCTGGTAAATAAAATGTCAAAGGTTACCAGACTGGCAGTAGTTAATAGTAACTCTGACAGGACTGGGGGTGTAGCTCAGTGGTAGGGTGCTTGCTTGACATGCGCCAGGCCCTGGGTTCAATCCCCAGCCCTGCAATAAATAAATAATAATAACATTAATAATACAGTTTCTGAAAATGAGAAAAGTGATAGGAAGCTATAAAGAACAGACCCTGAGAAGAGAATCATCCCTGGATAGTTGCACAGTGGCACAATATAGTGTGTCTTCAAGGTAGTAAGTGTGTATGCATTAAATTCATTAGGGAAATGTTTACATCTTTTAAAATGCTGCTTTTAATTTCTCACTTAAGAAGGGTATTTTAGGTATCTGGAAAATCTACATCACCTGACAATGCCTGTTAAATGAAGCATCGCTGACTTATCTGTTGAATTACAGATAATGCATTTTTCCTCTTAAAAAACAATCCTTGCTCATTAAATGATCCTCCCTTTTCATTCTCTATTATTTTTTCTTTCAAGTTGCTTTGAGAAATGGTTTTATTTTCTTGGCTTTGGGGTAATTTTCAGGCTTATTATTGTTGTCTTCTTATTTGTATTTTAAGCTGAATTAAAACATAATAATCTCATAGCGGATACATAGTTAGGAAACCAGGAACAACAGCACCTCCGTGCCTCTTCAGAATACCCAAAAAAGAAAAAGAAAAAGAAATGAGTGTATTTATTAAATAAGAAGACAGCATTTTGAGAAATTCTGGCTATTTACCTGAATTTACCTTATAGAGATATATCAGGGTTTTTTTTTTTCTTTTCTTTCTTTTCTTTTCTTTTTTTTTTTTTTTTTGATCTGAAGATGACAATAATATGTATCATTTCAGGACCACTGATTGCTTTAATTACTTTCTCTTTACAGAAGAGATGACCAGGTCTAACACTAGCTCAATATACCCGACACCATACCCACAATGCATGCACACACGCGCTCACACACATTTGTACACACATACACACACACACACACACACACACACACACACACACACACTCTATCTGGGTCTAGTCATGTACTCTTCTTTTAAGTATTTATCCAGAATACTCAAAATACTGGCTCAATAATGCTCTGGAAGATCTTAGATGGGTGTACACAAAGGAATATTGTTTCCAGGGTGTGTCTCAGTAAAATGGAAAATAACTGAGGATTTAGTATTTCCATGACAATTTGGGTTTGTGATCAGAAAGAGCCCCCTTAATGATGGGGTTCCCAGAGTTCCTTTGAAGCCAGGTGAAGTGATGAATCTGTTTGCGTCTCTTCCAAGTGACAGCTCAGTTTTCTTTCTTTTTCCCKTTGAAGACATGACAATGGATGAAGTCCGCGAATTTGAACGAGCCACTCAGGAAGCCACCAACAAGAAAATTGGCGTTTTCCCACCTGCCATTTCTATCTCGAGCATTCCCCTGCTGCCTTCTTCCGTGCGCAGCGCCCCGTCCAGCGCCCCGTCCACCCCTCTCTCCACAGATGCACCAGAATTTCTGTCAGTTCCCAAAGATCGACCCCGGAAAAAGTCAGCTCCAGAAACTCTCACGCTTCCAGACCCTGAGAAAAGAGCCACTCTGAATTTACCCGGCATGCACTCCTCAGAGAAGCCACGTCGGCCCAAGTCAGAGTGACCTCACCCGGAGATCTCATGGGTTTTATATTTTCATTTTGTTGTTGTTGTTGTTGTTTTCTAAGAATCTTCTGATATAGGAAAAGACTGCTTTGTCACTCAAACATGTTCCTTTGATCTCTGAGTGTGCATGGGGTAAAGTAATTTCACAAATAATATGAATCCTAAGTATGCCACACAGCGTCATAGTATATTTCAGATGTGAGACTTGCAAAAAACCAGAAGGGACCTTCTGTAGACACAGCTATAAGTCAGGGAGGAAGCCTTGGTATTGGGCATTTGGTGAGGCTGGCATGGACTTCAAGGGTAAATATATGAAAACTTCATACCACTTTGTTGCCAAGTGTGGTAAAATAGTAAAGTCGATTTCCTCCCATCAGAAATTCTCAAAAAAATACTCTCAGGCATCACAAACCTAATTGTTAAATTTTGAACTGCTGACCACCAATACTTGAATACCAGTAGTTACTGAGATTTTGATTAATCTGACTCAGGATTTGGGGCCTAGTTAACTCCTTAAATTTTTGAAAATTTTAATTACGAACGTATAGAGGCTCCAAGTGCAATTGATGATAACTTATTTATACCTTTCACAGAATTTAATAATAAAGATTTCCACTTGTTTCTGCCTTTTAATAACTTTCCCCTTGTGCCCTTGTGGCCTCCGAAATCTTTCAGGATTGCATGAACAAATGTGACTATAACCAATTTATTTTGGAATGGTTTAGTTTAGGAACCAAGAGACCCAGGTGAAACAAGCATCTTTTTTTTCTGTACAGGTACCAACAAACCTTGACTTGTCAGCTACCATCATCCGTTAAGATTCTCAGAATTTGCAATTAACTGAATAGAATTCATTGACTATTTGCCCATTTGAAGATATCCAAGGGTAGAATAAGCTAACTGGGCTTTAACACTGTTAGAGGTCTGGTATGCAGACCATGAAAAAGGGAACTGTCTCCCATTCCTCTCCTGATTTTCCTTAGTCATCCAGACATCCCTGGAATGGATCGCCCACCACTAGACCTTAGAAAAGACTGTCATTCTCTTGCTCCTTCCTTAAAATCTAAATTTTGGAGCCTGGGGGTATAGCTCAGTCGTAGAGCACTTGCCTAGTTTGTGGGGGTCCCTGGGTTTGATCCCCAGCACTATAGAAAGAAAGAAAGAAAGAGCCAGATATTAGGAATGTTGCAGAAATAAGTAAATACTGCCAAGGGAGAGGAGAGCATGAGCAGAACTGGTGGCTCCTATTTGTAAAAAGAAGGAATGATAGCTGGGCGCAATAGCACATGCCAGTAATCCCAGCAGCTTGGGAGGCTGAGGCAGGAGGATTGCAAGTTCAAAGCCAGCCTCAGCAAAAGCGAGGTGCTAAGCAACTCAGTGAGACCCTGTCTCTAAATAAAATACAAAATAGGACTTGGGATGTGGCTTAGTGGTCGAGTGCCCCTGAGTTCAATCCCTAAGTACCCACTCCCCAAAAAAGAAGAAGGAATGATAATAAATGTCCATGAGTCTTGCTTTCATTTCTGCAAGTGGTGTGAATGCAAGATTCGAACAAGATTGACAGGAGGCAAGATCATTCATCAAAGTGGCAGAAAGAATTCTCTTTTGGTCCTAAGAGAAATCTGTCACTGTTGCACCTCACTGCCTTTAAACACAGAAGGAAGGGCAAGCAGAATCTCAGCATTGATATTTGTCCTTCACGAGAGGAAGAAAACAAGGTAACTGGGCAACTCCAGAGCCCACGCCCTAGCTAGCCTTTCTGACCGTCACCTCCAACCTCAGGAAAGGGGCCTTCCCAAAACAGAGATTCCAAAGGAAACAGTGTAGACCAAGGAGCAGATTCTCCTTCCCTCAGCCTCAGTGGTGGCCAGTGCCTGCTTCCCCCACCCCCGCCCCCAGTGCTCAGCACTCCATGTTGTCTTTTGCAGATTGACACCCGCCCCCAAGGTGCAGGCGCTGGACCCATGAGCCCAGCACCATCGTTTCTTTATCTATAGTCTGACATTTAGCTTAAAGGAAAATAGACCCAGTACTCAAAGGAAACCAGTCACAAATAGCTTAGATAACAGTGCATCTTTTCCTTAAGAATGATAGTATCATAGTAAGAAAACCTCTTTGCATGGTATGGAAGCATGAATTTTGCTTGTGGGAAAACTTAATCTTTTATCAAACCCCTTGGACTTTTCAATGGCTCCTTCTCCATGCAGTAGTACTTAATAAGAATGTTTGGCTTTAGAAAGCAAAATTCTACTTTCAGAAGACAAGGAGATAGCGTATGTATTTGCTTACTGTCTGAGAGTTGAAATCAAGGTAGGGGTGGGATCATTATTTTCACATAGAACAAATTTATTCTGTGCAGGTTGTTAACACATCTGGCACCTAGTTTTTCCATTAATACCATTGCTATTTTCCCTTTTTATAAAGTAGCTTCTGCTGTCAAAGTCATTAATTCATTATGCTTTAGAAAGCTAATTTCTGATTTCCTTTTGTGAGCTTTCTTTCTTTTATAGCCAGTATAATACCACAGACATCAATTGTGAAGCTGCCCATGATGGTGTGATTCTTAAGTAACAAAATGGGTGTGCTCTTAACATACGTTCAGTTTTTCTGTCTACATATGATTTGTGTGCAGTACAAAATGGGGGTGTGCAGATATTCCTTTAGCTGCTTTGAATATTTAATCCAGTCATAACATGCATAAATGACTTCAATATTTTACACATCTTGGTTTCCAAGTGTCATTTCACCTTCTCCATATGCGGATTTGTTATTGTGGGATACAAGCCTGCGATGAATGTGTACATAGAACATTAATAATTCTTATAAGGATGGAAATTAAATGGCTGCATGATGGAAATTTAGAAGAAGAAGAAAAAAAAGCAGAAACTTGAATTTGCTAAGCATGTTTGAGGAAAAATAGAATCCTTAACTCAGTGCCTCTGTTTGCAATGTGGAAACCTTCAACTTTACTCACCAAAATTGTATTATACCTGTATATATATATATAAATATAGGGTAGTGAGTACCATACCACCAATTTTAAATCTCTGGTAGCCAAATGAAAACAAATAATCCGTAGGATAACACATATGTTCACCCCTCTTCATCTCTGATGTTAGTGGAGACYATGAAAATGGCTGTAAGGTCCATTACTTTGAATGGGTTTTGAGTGTGAAATGTCTGTATTTTTTGTTGACTGTAGCATAGCATTCTTGCCTTGGCTGTGCTTTCCTGGGAGAGAGAGAGAGGTCTTCTTATTTTTAGTGCATAAGCTCTGTCAGAAGTCACCTCTGAAGATCATTTCATTTTGAGCTATAGAAAGACAAAGCAAAGAAAAGGGTAAGAATGAAGGAGGCTGTGACACTTTTATTTGCCACCATTATCCCTGAAACCATAGGAGTTCATTGGTGCACTCGTTTATAAATGCTTCTGTTACGGTTTTGCATCTATGTGTGGGGGGAATGGTTTTGATTTGTTTGGAGGTGTATATTAGCCATGTTTTGGGTTGTGAAAGTAAGTACCAGCCAGTCGTGGATGTATAATGAAGACACTTAAACAACCCAACAATACTCCTAAAAGTAAATTGTGTGATTTTATTTCAAAGTAAAATAGTGAACTAAGAAAATAGATGCTGACAAATCTTGATAAATCATTTTCAGTGAAAGTTTCAGGATGATTGTTATTTATGAATATTTTTAAGTTCTACTTTCTTGCTGGGCTGGGGATGCTGCTCAGTGGTAGAGTACTTGMCTAGAGTGTGCAAGGCCCTAGGTTCAATCCCCAGCACTACATAAAAATAACAAATAAATATGGGACTGGGGCTGGGACTCAGTGGTATAGCGCTCGCCTAGCACACATGAGGCACTGGGTTCTATCCTCAGCACCACATAAAAATAAATAAAAATAAAGACATATGTCTACCTACTTTTAAATAAATAAATAAATTCTTTCTTTAGTTTCTCCCCCTGGCTTAGAGACAACAAAATAATAGGTCACTGAGTGGCTTAGGTCAATAGGAATTTTATGTTTGAGAAGAGCCAAAGTGTAACTGACTCTGTATCAAATGTGTAATCTGATAATTCAAATAGAGAGGAATTGTCTAAATGGTTTTAGTACTTTTCTGATCATCTGACAGTCTAGGTGACAATCTGCMATCTGAGACATAGTTCTTAAAAAAGATTGCTGTCCAATGACTGCAACCTGATCATCAGTAAACTTTTAAACTTCATTCTTGCTCAAACTCACGTAGCACACAATAGCACACAGAGTTGGCATGCCAAGGCAAAACATACTGGCTTCTACCTTCAAAACAATCTGTTTGTATCTGAAATGTGTTTAAGCTTCGTAGGAGTTAGTGCAGTAACAGAATGTGGTATGTTGAGTTTCTCAGATGCCATTATTAATTGTAATGTTGTTGTGAAGTTAACAAATGCTTTAGGATAAGCCTCTCGATGTGTCTGCCTGTTTCAGTTGAAATTAGGTCTGTTGGATTGCCCATCTCACTTCAGTTCTTTGTATCTCTAGCAAGAGGTTCTCTGAGTTTATGTTATCCTGTGCCACTTGTGTAGCTTCAAGTGTAATTTTTAGCGCTTACATTTTGAGCTGGGATCCTGATTGGTTACATTAGTCAAAATACCACTGCCACTGCCGAAGGACCAAGTGTTACAGGTGACAAGCAAAGTAATTGGAAGTTTGACACTCACATGTGCCATCCTGTGTCGTCTTATGGCTGTACCGTGTCATCCCCCTCCCTAGTTATTTATTATTGTTTATAACTTACTTTTTCTTACATTCTGTTGTAAATAAAGTAAAAAGCAATCTTCTTTCCAAGTGTAGCTTCCGCGCTCTGTTTTTCAGCTGGCGTCAAGGGAATGTTGGCCCTTAACTTGCAGGTTGATGGGAAAGAAGACATGGAGGAAGAGGGGACAAGCCTGTGGCTGCTGCTTAGACCCAGTCCTAGAGCTCAGGTACCAGGGAGCCTTGGACCCTGGGTGGGAGGAGCCTGGGTGTCTGCTCTCCTTGTCCAGCCAAAATTAGTACCCACGGTGGGTCTGCGGCCCAGTGGGACACACACACACACACACACACATGTCCATCCATCTAGCAAGCACTTGATTCCCCCTCATCTAATGGGCCACGTACCCCAAGATCATCTATGGAAACACCACCCCGAGGGCATCATATGGCAATCTGGGTCGATTTTAAGGTGAGCTAAATCCTCCCTCCAATGCAGCTTCTCCTTCTCAAGTAGCTCCTACTGTGCAGTGTCCTCCGGGCTGGGTGGTGTGGGAACAGCTTTGCTTTATTGCTCCTCACTCGTCAGGCAGCACCACACCCTCACGACAGGCTCCCCCACACAGTGCCGAAATGGCAGCAGCCTCTCTGTCTCCCATGGGTCCAGGCAGAGGCTTCCTATAACAGTGTGTGGTCAGTCAGCCTTCTCCATGGAAATAGTTCCCCAAGCCCAGCTAACAAAAATGTTCTTGCTTTGTAGCTCCATCTTCCATTGCACCCCCACCCTGCCTTTGAACTCTGTTCAAAACACACCAACTTGCCACACAGGGTTGCTGGCCGACTCTCGCCTGCCATCCTGGATTCACCCCAGCAGGGTGTTTATTCCTGTGGCCGAGCCACACAAGGTTGTTAAATATCTGGATGTTTGTAACACGCACCCCCAACTTCCTAGAACAGTGTTCATCAAGGAATTCTCTCATTTGAGCATGCCTCTTAGATTTCTGAATGGCCACATTCTTTTCTAACATTTCCTTGTTTCTTTCATCACATTTCTTGCCTTTGACCTCCAGCTGCACCTCAGCCTCAAGTTCAGGCTACATCGTGTGTTCCTTCTCCAAGCCCTTGTCCTGAAATATAATATCTGTATGTGAAAATGTCTTTGTCAAAGTTTTCATGGGTTTGGAACAACAGTCATGTGTGTGCGCTGAGGTAGGGATGTGTGTGTGTGTGTGTGTGTGTGTGTGCGCGCGCGCCTTAGTGTGGTGATCCAAGCAAATCCTGTTTTCGGGTTTGCAGATTGACTTAATGCATTGGCCCTTTGACATTCCACGCTCCCGTAAACTCCCCCCATCCATGGTGTGCAACTACGATACCTCATGCAAATCTAAGTATCTAACTATTTCCTCACTCCTGAGAAAGTTGAAAACAGTAGGGTAACTATGCCTCCACACTTTTGGTCTGCTTCCAACATGGAAGAATTGAGCTAATGTAGCCAAAAGAAACCAGATGTGACCTTAGGACATCCTGAAACCGGCCATTCAGTATAGCAAAGTTAACCAGCTGAATTAAGCGCCTGGAATTTAAGGGATAATTTTGTTTTACACTGT